CATTATCATGCAGAATAATTGTCATGTGTAGAATAGTACTGGATACATTTTTCTTTGAGTGCTTGGCTCAGTCTTATCAATTGTGTTCAGTGAGAACTCCAGTAATGGTTTTGTTCAGTTTGAGCAACTCATAATACATGACATCAAGCTGACCCCACTATTTTTTCTTCAGTGAATTCGGCTAGGCTAGGCTTCAATAATGCTTCCAATTCCGCATCTTCATAAACTTTCATCCTTCTGCTATGTTCTTTGTTTTCACCATTCATAAACTTTTGAAACCAATGATGACAACTTCTCTCACTTAAGGCAGTCTCACCATATGCTTCTACAAGCAATCGATGATCCTTAGCTGCAAATTTCTTTAAATTAAAGAAGTAAATCAAAAGTTCCCACAAATGATGCTCATTTAGCTCAACACTTGACATTTTCACACACACACAGACACACAAAAAAAAAAAAAAAAAAAAAAAAAAAAAAAACATGATGCTGATATAAAATCTCTAATATTTCAAGGTTATGTTGTTATCAGATGTCCAACTTTACAATATGATGTTTTACATCAGACAATTGTAATCATAACTTACTGGTGGTGCCATTTTTTATCAAATGGCACAGACTTATTTGTACTCCTAATAACTTAATAAACATGAGAATCCTAACTAAGATACTAGATCAGTACTTTCTCAAACGTTTTCCCCTTTCCCTGATAAAATTTCAATATTTCCAACATGTCCTGATAAATGTTTGGATACTAATCTAACAAGATCATATTGTTGTGTGCGCATGGATTTGTAATAAACTGAATGTACAAGTCCGATAAAAAGTCAATAAAATTTGTTCTTATTACAAGAAATAAAAGAAAATGCTGAAATTTTTCCTCACAGATATTCGTACAGTATCACACAGTAGTTATATTTTAAACTACTTAAAACATTAGATAGAACACGACCCAAAGTGTAGAAAAAGGTAATCCGATCTTGCTGTGATTTCACTACAATCAACAACAAAAACTTAGTAAACAACTGAACTGAGATGTTTTTCTCCAGCTTTTATAAGCCTTTTAAATCAGTCACGAGAAGCTTCTGGTATTTTCTCAAGGTTTCTGGAAAGCAAAAGAGTAGAATTACGAGATATCTATTTATTAAATATGCATGCTCGTGAATTTTCACTTTTTCGGCATAGTTTTCTCTCAAAATAAGTCTCGTGCTGCATTGGACAGGGATATAAAACAATTCTAATTCTACTAAAAATAGCAAATTAAATACAAAATCCTTAACACTGCCCCTTTCCCAAAGAATGCACGTCCCAGGCAGTACAATCCCTGGACAGGAAGCCAAAACTTACAACTAAGGCATCAATGCAATAATAAACATTACATTACAATAACAAACCACATAAACAATAATTGCAATAAGTAATTTAAATCAAATACTGAATAAAAGTCAAATTAAATACAAATTTAGAAACAAAAAAGAACATGGTCTTATACCATTTACATTATATACACTACACACTATGGCCATAGAAAGAAGCTAACCTGTTGTAATGAATGACTTTAGGTTCATTACAATAGGAACTTAGAGTTCGATGACTTATGGATCCGAACTACCAAGTCATTCAGCCTGTTTAGAACTGTATGTGAACCATCCCAAGGTGACTGTAGTTTAGGACAGAGTACTTTTGAGTCGGATTACACAACCACACCTTGTCTCCTTCATTGAATTGATGTCCGGTAGCTCTCGTGCTCTATCGGATCTTCATCTTCTCCGTCACTAGGAAAGAGTTGCTCGCCATAATCAAAGCCCTAGAACATTTCCATCAATATCTAATACAGTGGAAAATTTTTGCTGCACATGGATCATGCATCACTGTAGCTTTAAAATTTGTAGAATCTTGAGGCTCAAATTGCCAGGTAGATACAGAGACTCCAGGAATATGTCATCGCTATCCATCATTGAAAGGGATCATCACATGGAAATACTGATGCCATCTAGAAGACCGTGCCCAGAAAACTGCTGATATTGCTCCAGGGCCAAATCTCACCCAGATTGCTGAAAATTCAATTTATTATGAACCCATACACAGGCAACACTTTTTGGTGTCAGAAGTTCGATTTGAATGCCAATAACAAGAGCCATGGAAGAACAATTAAGGCAATTACTGGCAACCTTTGCTGCATTCAAAGAAGAGGTGGATGCTCACCAAGAATTCGTTAAAGCAAAGATGAAGGCTTGCCATGAAAGCTGTTCCAGAAGGTCAAGATAAAATGAAAAAGGAAATTCCTTGCATAATAGAAAACAAATTTGAGGCTATGGAAGGGCGAATAGACGCGGTTGAAACTAAAGTTGGACAAATTGATGAAAGAGTTTCTTCTCCAAAAGAACAAATAGAGGAGAGTTTCTGCCGTGGAACAACAAATTTATGACAGGGTTACTGCGGTCGCCAAAGAAGTTGATATGTTGAATAAATTCGTAGCGATAGCAGGGAGCAATTCCGAGAGTTTTAAATTTCTACCCATGCCTACTCATCCCTAACTGAAGCTGTCCACATATGATGGGAATACCTCCTGGAAAGTATGTAAGACATAGTTTACTATAGTGGCGGAAGCAAATGGATGGGATTCCTAAGCTAAGGCCTGTCATCTCACCGCTTCTGTGAGAGCAGATGCAGCGGATATCCTTCAGACGCTTCCCGAAAACAAAAGGCTAGATTTCAAAGCCCTGTCCGGCGTGTTGGAGAGAAGTGTTTAAAAGACTACAGTAGGTTTCAATTAAGATCCCGTCAACAGAAACACTCCAGGAGCTCGCCACAGATGTTGAAGGCTGTCCCACCTCGCCTTTTCGGAGTGCCCGACAGAAACAAAGGAAATCCTCTCCCTGCAATACTTTATCTACGGCATCCAGGATCTTGAAATACAGAAAGTTATACAAATAGCAGATATTACAGATTCTTGCATACTCAGATTGGAGTTTTTAAGGAAATACAATTTTTCCTGTGACTTTAAAAATAACGAACTACATTCTGCCTCTGAGGACATAACCATATTCGCAATTAATGGTGAAGGAGTTAAATCTGTTCATAAAATCATAGCTAAAAATATCATAGTACCAGCAAGAACAGAATTTCTACTTCCTGGGTCCATAGTCGAAAACAGAAATTTCCACTACAGCATCATCAAATATCCTATAAACTCTAACAGCCTGAAAGCAGTACTAGTAGTCTCAACGTTCGTCAACCTATCAAGGACCGTTATCCCAGTAAAAGTTGCCAATGTAACAGTCAAGGTGAGAGCTATTAAGAAAGGTGCAGTAGTTGCAGCATGTACTCCAGTATCAAGCGCTGAAAGAAAGAGTAACATTCCAGAATCCGTGTCTTCAGGGAGCATTATATCGGAGTTATTGCACAATGCGCAATTAAATGATGAAGAGTGGAATGCTACCGAAAGTGTCACTAAAGATCTTCAAGATGTTTTCCCCTGCTCATCTTTTGATGTAGGTCGAACCAGTTTGACACAGCATAGAATCCCACCGCTGCCACCAAAAAGTGTTACGTGCGTATGTGTTCGTAACAAATTGAAGTGTGATAAAAAGTCATTAAATGTATTCTTATTACAATAAATAAAACAAAATTCTGAAATTTTTCTTCACAGATATTCGTACAATATCACACAGTAGTTATATTTTAAACTACTAAAACTTTATAACAGAACTTTATCCAAAGCGCAGAAAAAGCTAATCTGATCTCACCACGAATTCGCTACTATCAACAACAAAAACGTAGTAAACAACTGAACTGAGATGTTTTACTCCAGCTTTTATAAGGCTTTTCAATCAGTCACGAGAAGCTTCTGGTATTTTCTCAAGGTTTCTGGAAAGCAAAAGAGTAGAATTACGAGATATCTATTTATTAAATATGCGTACTCGTGAATTTTTACTTTTTCGGCATACCTTTCTTTCAAAATAAGTCTCGTGCTGCATTGCACAGGGATATAAAACAATTCTAATTCTACTAAAAATAGCAAATTAAATACAAAATCTGTAATAATATTTTAGGATTTTAACCGTGTTATATATTCATTTTCAATTTCCCTCTCTTGAGAATCAGCATCATCCAATGATATTTTTAATTGCATTTATATAATATTTGGAATTTTTTTAATCGAGTATCCTAGTCCTGGTTATATTATGTAAAGTCTGTCGATAAATTTGTTCTTTAATTCATTCAAATGTAGAGACTGCAAAATCTGATCAAACCTGATTGAGCTCGAGATTTTTATAAAAAATAGATTCTCCATAAATGGATCCACAGACTAATAATCCCAATATAATCTTTAATGTGGTATCAAGATAATAACAGAAAAATTTCTTCATTTTCACATCTATTCATTTTATTGTTCTGAAACTTTTCTCCCATTTGTACTGATATCATAGAGTTTGTTATTACATCATACAATATTTATGAAATTCTCTCTAAAGAACCTATTTGCAACTTTAGAAATGCGTGTAGAATTGGACAGAGTTTACATCAGACCTGGATTTTATGAAGATAAATTTATAACAGAAATCATTTCTTGTTCAATCCATGAAACTGCCTCTGTAGTTATTTCTCTTAATTTTTATTATCAATACTTTCACCAAAGCATAAATATTCAGGATGCTGCTCAAGAAAACATCACTATCAGAATTGATGTCCACTTTGTTAACAGTCTCGATATCATTTGAACTCAACATCATCTGAAAAATGGATCTGCAAAAAATTTTCATGAGGCTATATGCTCTACGTTATAGTTAATTGAACGATGTTTTTCAGGCACAAAATGTGATTTGTTATTTCACACCTTCAAAGTCTGAAATTTTTTCTCTTGAAACTAGTTTTTCCCCATCTTTCTAAGAAAAATGCTAATAAGTAATCATTAAAATACTGAAGAGTAAAGATTTTAATTTTGAACAATACCCAAAGTGATATTGAAGTCATTACTCAAAAGGTGCATTAGACAGACAAAGTTTTCATAAAAACAGTTTTATTATTAACAAAACAAAGAATATTAGTTATAAGAAAATTCCTTATAATATTTTTTAAAACATTATACAAAGTAAGCAGCAAGTTGAGCCATTTTGTCTTTAGGTTTGCTCCTACCCCGACCTCTTGATTTGGTACCTCTTCCTCGTCCTCGCCCTTTACCTCTTACAGGATTACGCTGCTTCATTGCCTGTAGCTGATCAACCAGCGAAGTGAACCTTGCATCACAAAATATACAACCAGTAGCTTCAGTGATATTACCACCAAATTTTGTTTTATCCTACACAAAAAACAAAAGTTACTTAATAATACTATTTAGTGAATAAAAATATTAATGAAATTATAAAACAAGAAGTATAAAGGATGGAAAAATAGGGAACCTTTGCTAACTAAAATACTGACAGATCATCATAAACATCAAATGTCTGATTACAGCAAGTTATAAGGTATTTATCCCACTTTCCTAGCGTGCCTTCGTGGTGTAGTGGTGCTGTACGCTGGACCAGTATTCCAGATGTCCGTGGTTCGATTCCCGGCGAAGGCATTTGCTATTTTTCATCTTTCCTGCTTCCAAAAATTTCTAATGTCTCTACAAAGTTATAATGAAAAACTCTGCACTTGGATATTAGCTGAAACTGGCTGATATTCTGCTAGCAATCTATGAGGAATTTTGGTGATGAAATATATTTTCTTCATCAGCAGCATGGTTAAACTTGTTTTTTGTTTCCAACTGGTATTGTTTGACAACTGTATAAAATATTGCAACAGAGTGTTATTCTCTGCAGCTTTTTCTGCTTTTATATGAACTAAATAAGAAGGAAAGGCACGATAGGAAGAAATAAACCAGACACTAGAATTTCACCATTCGTTATACAGGTATAGACTCACTGCACTAACTGTGCAGCTCCTCTCCAATTTTGATGAACAGCATCTCGAGATTGATCCACATGTCTCCCACTCCTCTTCTCCAACCACTAAACACTCTAGAAGGCTTTTGGCTTACCAATATTTTAAGTAGCCCTATTAGACACACTTACAAATATCTGGAATTCTATCCAGGGTTGGTGTAATAGTCAGCTTAGCTTACCACTTTATTGATTAGGATGGCAAATAACAAAGCAAGTGGCTTCTTTTAGAACCTTTCCCAGTTCTTATTCTAACACTTTATTGACAGCAGTTGACAGTATATTTCCATTGTGCATCTTCCATAATGCACAATTTCATTGCATGAGAACTGGAATAATCACAATTTTTTTAGCAAAATATATGGCTGGAAATAATGATTTATTTCTCATTAATTCTAGTAACTGCAGGATGTAAAATACAGTGAAAATCAACACAAGAAAAATAAGCATTATCCCAGGAACTTTTCATGGCAAAACGCTACCAAATAATGATACAATGCAGATAAGTACTTGCTTTGATTAGTTTGAAGTTGATGTAGAATTATATATATATAAAAGAAGAAAGGGGGGAATGAAGAAGCCATCTATCCTCCCACAGCTTGGAGAAACACATTTTCTGAGAAAATGAAATAAAAATTCTCATCTTTCTATTAGAATCTGGAATATCTTCTAAAGCTGCTACAGTGCTCCCAGCAGAGCACAGTCAAAGGTTGTATTATTGGCCGCATGTTAAAGGGTATCAGATAATATGCAAGTATACAAAGCATAAGAGTGATGAAAAGTATGAAAATAAACATGAACAAAAGAAGTATAATTACAAAGAATAAAATACTTTTTTGTACTCAGCTGTGACGAGTTGACTTCCACAATCTTTGCAAGTATCTTCATCAACAGTGACTTTAACAGCATCTTCAAAAAGTCGCACTATGGTATCGCATCTATAACAAAATATTATTTTATAGACCAACAATATAATTTTTATATGAGTCTAAAGTCTACAGTAGGTATGTACTAAGTATTGTAGTCCTTAAAAAAAAAAAAAAAAAAAAAATCTGTGGTATATACTAATAAACCACTATACAAATTTTTAAAACAGAATACATATTTAGATTACAACTGAATAAATATTTTTTCCCTCAGATTCAAATCCATGAGATAATCAAGCTATAATGTTAAAAATGTTATCCTTGCAAATGTTCCACTAAATTTGTTTGATTTTCTTTTTAAAGTTCTAATTAACTATGAATAAATTCTGACAACATGTTTTCAACAACATTATATTGATACTATTGGGTCTCTGCTTTTTTGCCACTAGATGGTGTTGATGCCTATATATCTGGCAACACTCACCCGTTTGTCTCAAACGAACATGAGCTTAAAAGGTTATATTCAGTTTCCATTGTTTGTGAAGATAGTGTTTTAGTTCGTTGCTTGTATAAAAAGTTATATGAATTTGAAAATGAGTGAAATATCTGAAGAAATATGCTATGTGATGCTTTTTTACTATAAAAAAAGGTAAAAGCACTGCAAAAATATGCCGAAAAATTTGTGAAATGTATGGTGAGAATGCTGTGAGTAAACGAAGGAGCCAGGAGTGGTTTGCTTGATTCCGTTCCAGAAATTTCAATGTCAAAGATGCACCTCACTCTGGTCGGCCAGTCACTGAAAAAGGTCGATTAAATTTTGCAACTGGTAGAGCAAGACCGGCATGCTAGCTGTCAGGAAATAGTGGAGGCATTAAACATCAACCACATGACAGTTTGGAATAATTTGAAAAGAGCAGGCTACGAAAAGAAGCTTGATGTTCCGGTGCCACATGAATTAATGCAAAGAAATTTGAATGACCGAATTACCATCAGTGAAATGCAACAAAATTGAACCATTTTTGGATGAAAAATGGGTGAAATACAAGAATGTCAAACACAAGCAATCATGGTTAAAGGCCAATGACCCTCTACAAACAACTTCAAAGCCTGGATTGTCATCATAAAAGGTTATGTTGAGTGTTTAGTGGGACTGGAAAGGGATTGTACATTATGAGCTGCTGAAATCTGGCAAAACCATTAATTTGGCCCAGTAGTGTGCACAATTCGGCCGTTTGAATGAAGCAATCCAGAAAGAGTGACCAGAATTGGCCAATAGAAAGGGAGTTGTGTTCCATTATGACAATGAATGGCCATACGCATCTTTGATGACTCGGAGCCTATTGATGGAGCTTGATTGGGAACTTTTGATGCATCCAACGTGTAGCCTGGACCTTGCTCTGTCTGACTACATTTGTTTCAGTCTCTTCAAAACTCTTTTGATGGTAAAAAATTGGCCAACCAAAGTGCCGCTGAAAATCACTTGGCCAACTTTTTCGATGATAAGTCACAGAAGTTCTACACTGATGGAATTATGGAGCTATTCGAAAAATGGCAAAAGGTCATAGATAATAATGGTCAATATGTACTTGATTAAAATTGATTTTCAATAAAGAAAATTTTTGTTAAGAAATGTACAAAAAAAGCGCTGAGACTTTTTATATGGCTAAATATCTTAGTCCATTTCTGTTAATTACTTTGGTCATGACCTTTTGTTCAAACAATATCTTAAATAAAATCTATACTTGCAAAACTAAGAAGCTCAAAAATCCGAAGACTTTTCTCATCAACAAAAATATTTTTTAAATGATCAAAATATACTACTTAATAATAAATTAACTTAAAATAGTTAATAATTAATATGTGAAAGTTCACTTTAATATTTGAAAGTTTGCATTAATTTGTACTGTTTGAATTAATTTTTAAATGCAAACAATAAAAAAATACTTAGTAAAGTAAAAGTTAGTAATAAAAGTAAAAAACATTTTTATTATCTGCACCTTTAAAAAAAAAAAAAAAAAAAAAAAAAAAAAAAACACTTTAAACAGTTCTCTCACAAACACAGTTAAAAGTCCATAATCCAGAGCTCAAAGCTACAAACTTTCTGCGCATGCACATAATACCTTTATGTATGTGCATAATATGTTTACGCATGCGCGTTTAATGTATAATGGACGGTATAAGCTAAGCTAAAATTATCTAATTATCTATTTCAGTTAATGTTGCAGATTGCGTTGTTCCTTAATCTTCGAATTGGATCCGGCTTATTATTTTTTGCAGACTGTTAGGGCAATTTTATAAAAGTAAGCTTGTACTTTCGATTATGTCAAAAAGAATTTCTGATGCTGGAGCTGCCAAAGGATCTACAAAGTGAAAGCATGTTTCAATGTCATCAAACAAACAGTGGAATTGCTGCAAAAAATGGATAGAGGCATATCCTTTGTTTCTTTAACCATTCCGAAATCTGTTTATCAATTTCACGCTGCACTGCGGAGGGGGGGGGCTGCGCACAATGAACTGGAAGTTGATCTGTCAGCACTATTCTTATCCTCAGGGCAGATGTTTTTATTTTATTCGACTTATAATTCCTTACTAAATGTAGTATTTCATCTCGATGTACTCTATCTTTGTTATGACTTAAATCAAATTCCTCGTCATTATAATTATCACGAATACACATCAAATAGTTTTCTGGTTGCAATTTTCTAATTTCGACTATGCGTAATGTACGCTTTACGCATGCGTGCGTTGAAAGAAATGTCTAATAAAATAAACAAATAAATATTAAGCTTTTTTTTTTTTTTTAATTCTGATACCCTTTAGATCATAATTGCTCTTTATTTCATAAATTACGGTTTCATATTTTTAATTTTATAATATCTGCATGCTATTTTACCAGATTTAAATTGATGATCTATAATCCAGAATCTCCGAAGTCCCTACGAGTCCGAATTAAAGACTTTTGACTATACTATGAACATCAGCAAATTTTGCTTTCATTAAGAAAGAAGCTTCATAATTTTCTTCATAGCAATTGCCACGTAGATCTGCTTTTGCTAATAAAAGTTTTTCTAATGTTTCATTACTAATATTAGATCCAAATTTAGTCATTGTTTTCAAAACAATACTGAAAATCCTCTCACGCTCTGCTTTACTACGGTTAGTTTTCCAATTAAACTCCACCGAGTGTCAATCCCTGGCTAATTGTATAATTTTATCAGCTTTCTAATTGTAAAAGGCAAAACTGCATCTGCAGTTTATCAGTTGCAACATCAATATCATTGTCTTTTATGACTAAAAGAATTAAAATTGGAAACCTATTCAAAAAATATTTTATATCAGAAAAATATGCATTTGTTTGGGCAGAAATCTCTGCAACTTTAGCGTGTAAAATCACTTCATCATTGACTGGAAATATTTATAGTATGTAATCACATACTTGCAGAAGTAGTTATTATTCTCTTATAAACAAATAATCACAATGAGAAACTTATTTTTAATAAAAAATAAATTGCAATGACAAACTTATTTTTTTCTTCCTCTCAAAGTTCTTCCACTATTTTGCTAGTTACAGCCTGTATTGCCAAATTTTCATCTTTTTTCTGATTTTCTACTTCACGATAAATCACATCATATATAGAATTAGAAGACAAAACAATGACTGGTTTTACAGACTTTGATAAAATATTTTTAAACAGATTATAAATCATTGACTGCAAAAGATAAACTAATGGAATACTGCTTTGTAGAACTTTGTTAAAAATGTTGAATGATGGCAAAATGAATTGTACAAAAAAGCAAAAAGCTTTGTTAAGGTTCGAAGATAAAAACATAAATATTCATTCTTCACAAAATAACTTATAGTAATCAGAATATGTTTCCCTTGCTGAGTAATAATTATTATTATTTTATTTTTTTTATTTTGAAAGAAATTTGTATCAGCTTTATGCTTATATTTTGTAGTATTATTTTGAGAACTGCCAATTAAGTTGGTCACAGGTGCACAAATGATTTTTCTCAAACCTATTTTCAACAATAGAAATAGTAACTACTCTTTACTACCATTTGCTTTAGGTATTTTATAACTTTCAATAGATCCTTTTATCTTAACTCTAGAAGCATTTACTTCTTCTTTAAAAAATGCAAGAAGTGAGTTCATCGATTGAGGATTCTAGGTAAAAATTTCTTTATGCACAGCCAGTTTGTACAAACACGTTTCAGTATTTTTCTGATTTCAGTATTATGCAACTGTTGGAATTGTTTCAGTTTTTCTTCCTTTTAGAACTCCTTTCAAGATAATAATAAATATCAACAATGTGTTGGAATTGTTTCAATTTTTCTTCCTTTTAGAACTCCTTTCAAGATAATAATAAATATCAACAATGTGTTCATTCATATTTATCGGTAAAGAAGCTGCCCATTTTTCAGCTGTTAAATTAAAGAGGTGACAAGTGCACCTCATAATTTGCAAGTATGAATTTTCCTTTTATAAGATGCCACCAACACCAGTCTTCAAGCCTATCATTATTGGTGCATTATCGGCACCAAATGTTACACAATTATCCAGAGGAATAGCATTTCCTTTTAAAGTTTTAATAATTATCTGTGCTATATTAAAGTCTGTTGAATGACCTAAAGTGAGGACAGAAATAAACTATACTCAATTTCTGAAGACACTAGAATCAGTATTATTGCTTCCATCCATAGAGATGCAGAATGAAATTGTTTTAATGCAATTACATACTTGCCAACCTTTGACACTTAAAAATCAAGAGATTTTTTTAAGAAATCATGAGATTTTTCACAATATTAAAAAGACTTTTTAAATGATAAAAATATAGTTTTTAATAATGAATTAACTTTAAATAGTTACTAATTCCTAAATGCAAGCAATACAAAAATACCTTACACATAAAACCATTTTTATTACTTGCATTATTTAAGAAAACAAAACAACAAAAAAAGAAATTTTAATCAGTTTTCGTACAAATGTTATGAACAGTAGCAGATTTTGCTTTTGTTAAGAAAGAAATTTCATAATTTTGTTCATAGCAATTGTAACGTAGGCCTGCTTTCGCTATTAAAAGTTTTTCTAATGCGTAATATTAGATCTAAATTTAGTCCTTGTTTTTGCAACACTGAAAATCCTCTCACACTCTGCATCATTATGGGGAACTGTCAAGATGGCCAACATAATTCTAGGCAGTTTACTATATTTTAAAATTCAATCAGCACCTTTCAGTTTTCCAATTAAACTCCACTAAATGTCAATCCTAGCTGATTTTAAAACTTTATCCAAGTTTTCTATTTGTAAACTGCAAACTTGCCACCGACAACATCAATATCATCATCTTTCATGACTAAATGAAGTAACACAGGAAATCTGTTCAAAAAGTACCTTATATCAGAAAAAGATGCACTTGCTAGAACAGAAATATCAGCAACTTTAGTATGCAAAATCACTTCATCGTTGACTGGAAATTTATGTAGTATGTAATCACATACTCAACAGAAGTAACTTCTAACATGAGATAAAATTTTATTTTTGTCTTCTCTGAAAAGTTCTTCCACTACTTTTGTAGTTGCAGCTCCTATTATACCAAATCTTCATCTTTCTTCTGATTTTCTATTTCACCATAAATCACATCATATATAGAATTACAAGAAAAAAGGCTCCAGTAAAAGGCAGAGAACAGACATTCTGCATTAATAACTTTTTGGCTCTTTTGTTTCCGAAGAAAAATTTAATTTTTCGTTGTTTTTCAAAACAACTCATGTTGTTCTTGTGTTCGCACATGTTTGAGAACACCCGCCCTTCCACCATGCGAAATCGAAAAAATCACAACAACAGACGGTAAGCATCGCAAATTTATTACATTTCCTCGAGGAAATAAAGGAAGAAAAGTAAACTGTGTACGATTTTTGAACGTACACGAGTATTTCACCTTTCTCGCAGACATAACAAAAGATGATAATTTCTAAAACTATTTCCCAAAGGCACGTAAACTCACACAACTCGGGACAAGATGAACGAAATAACTAAAGAACATCCAAATAACAGCTTGCTTGTTTTGTGCTCATTGGCTACTACATGCCAATTAACACGCAGTGGAGCTCGATGCCAATTGGAGAACTGGAGAACATTTCTGGATACGTATGCTCTCACTCACAAAGCAGAAATTCTCATCTGATTCTCAAGGTTTTGTTTTAGATATAATCTAGAGAAAACTCAATTGCTTTCAGACATCCAAAATCCTCCCTTTTTTTTTTTTTTTTTTCATATAACGAAGTATTAAGCCAAGTTCCATAAAAATCGTGAGAAATTTTAAGAAAAAGTCGGGAGAAATATATTGTAAATCGGATTGGCGGGAGAGCGATTGAAAAACGGGAGTCTCCCGCCTAAATAGGAAGAGTTGGCAACTCTGCAATTAGTAACTGAAGATTTATTTTTCATAACCATTTTTTTAACAAAATTCATAACCATTTTTTTTGCGGCCATTTTGGTCCTTGCACTTGAGTATTTCTTAGTAATTTCGCTATCGGAAATTTTTTTTCTAAATAAAGCTGCAGCATAATCTGATGCATTCAGTGGCAGGTTGTGCTCCAGTAAAAAGGAAGGAAACAGGCATTCTGCATTAATAACATTTTGGGCCTTTGTTTCCCCAGAAAAAAAAAAATTTTTTTTTTTTTTTTCAATAGAACTCATTCTGCCTTGTGCTCTTGTGCACACATGTTTGAGAACATCGGCCTTTCCGTGTGAAATCGAAAAATCACAATGACAAACAGTACATATCGCAAATGTATTACATTTTCTTGAGGAAATAACAGAAGGAAAGTCATCTGTATATGATTTTTGAAAAGTACATGAGCATTTTACCTTTTTTTTTCAGATATAAGTAAAACAAAAGGTCATAATTTCTTAAAGAATTTCATGAACACATGTGCAGTGAGACTGATCAGAGACAAGATGAATGAAATAACAACCTTGACCTTGCTTTGCACTCATTGGCCAGATGGCACGCAGTGGTATCAATGTTCATTGAAGAACGGGAACACCATGTTTTCCAACACATGTGCTCTCACTCAGAAAGCAGAAGCGTGTCATAATTTCTCACTGATGAAATTACTTTGGCTTTCTTTTATATGTAACCCAGAGAAAAACTAAGTGGTTTCAGATTCCAAAATCACTTTTTTGTGTGTGCAAATAGCAAACTATTAAGCCAAACTACATAAAAATTTTTGCGAACTTTTAAGAATAATTCCGGAGAAATATCTTGTAAATTGGATTAGCGGGGGAACAGTCAGAAATAATGGGTGTCCTGCCTACATTAGGAGTGTTGGCAACTCTGAAAATTTACTTCACTATGTTAAATAAAATCATGCGCTTCCATCTTGGCCAATCTACCATTCTTCTGGCCCATTCAACATACTCTTCCTCCTCAACTAGTTTCCTACAATCATCCCTTCTTCTCATGAGACCTGTTCTAGGGTTGTTGATCTTTCCTTTCATGATAAAAATTAATGTCATGAGCACTAAATATCAATAATACTGTCCCACACAGTTGCCAACATTTTCAGTATAACACTAGTAGGGTCATACAAAAATTATTAAAATACTAGATTACCTTTATATTTAAAGTGAGACAACATATACAGCTGCCTAGCTCATCATAGAAATAAATCAAATAATTATAAAAATTATCATACATTTAAAAGCAATTATTGTAATGCACACAAAGCACACATATATATGTAAAAATAAAGTGTAACATAAAATGAAAAACTAAAATTCAATGATGCTTACAAATATGCATATTACCCTCAATATTAAACCTTATTGCTGCAAGTACAAAAGCAAAACAATCAACAAAAAGTAAGAAGACATACCTGTTACAAGAAAGCTTCCATTTTGGTCCAGAACCAGGGTCCAATACCAATACTCCTCCATCACACATAGAACAATTAGAAACACCATTGCTTTGAAGTGAATACGGACAAGTAGGATGAGTGCAAGAATTACAGCCAGATAATTTTCGCATATCTCGAAAAGGTGGATTATTGTAACAATAGGGACAAAATATAAAGCTCTGTAAAGAAAAATGAGAAGTTAACACTGATTGTGAAGAAATGTGTAGATTACATCATTAAGATCTTGTTAAATATATAAAGAAACTTTATATTACAGGCCCGGCTTGAGCATTTTTTTGGTATCCTAAGTGACTGGCACAGTTAACATTCCATGCAAATCAAACATATTAATAATTCAAAGTAAGAAAAATTGCCCACCAGCGGCCGAGCGGTAAAGACGCTGAACACTGGTAGTTCGGTCTGAGGTTCGAATCCCGCGAACGGGCTGGCTGCATGGGCGTTTTCGTGGTTTTCCCCATGTGTAACGTGTATACGAGCCAGTTTCCCTTAGAAAGTCCTCCACGAAAGGCATCCCTCCCTTTAGGCAGATAGCCCTCGTGTGCTTTGCCATAATTAAATACACCAACACCAACACCAAAGTAAGAAAAAGTGTATTTAGTTGTCATATGCGAGAATATTTTATCTGGCACCCTTTGGAAGATAATGTCCTGGGCAACTGCTTATGTCATTTATGCTTGCAGCCAGCTCTGGTGAGTACTATATTGAGATTTAAGGCTTTTAGATGAAGAAGTATGTAAAGATATTTCATGGAATTGAGAAAGCTAAAGATGCATAAAAACTGCAAAACATAATCATAAAAAATTGTGAAAAAAAAAAAAAAAAAAAAAGAGGAAAGAAAGAAAATACCAAAAACATCAAATACAGTTAAAAAATTAAATTTTGCAATTAAGATTCAAGTTTCTATGTAAAAACAAGCGATTCAGCCAACCAACAGAAAGGCAAAAAAACTTTCAGTGCACTGAAACTTCACTACCTTGAAAAAAATTTATACAGTGTCTGTAAATTTTTAACTGAAACCTCAACTAAGAGAAGGAAAAAGAAGGATGAATTAAAAGGGTTTATAGTTTAAATATGCAATTACTGTAATATTTTTTTTTTTGGCTTTACTTTTATTAACTAAGGACCTACTATACTCAAAGTCATCATGATAAGTCCATGGCATGAAAATTTTATTCTTTTCTAACATTTGTCTTTTATTTCTTTTTCTTACTTGCATTACTTTAATGCTTTCCAATTTTGATTTAAAAAAAAAAAATCTAACCATGAATACACCTTTTGAAACATTTAAAACTTTCTTTTATCATTTTGCATCGCCAATAACACCAAACCCTAAGCATCTCTTTTCTTCCATTTTGAAATTCATTCGTTTGTTCTTCCAATAAAGATATATTACTACTTTTCTTACTTCGATAAAATGCTTGTTATAATTCTTTTTTAGGAAATATAATTTGAGTTCTTTTTCTAGATTTTGTGTAAACTATTACGCTTAATTTGAATTTTAATGTTATTAAACTTTATATATACTTTATTAGGATACATGAATTTATTTCATTTAAATTTATATTTTTGTAGTATAACTTCCTATGAAAGGAAGGCGGCTGTGTAGAGGAAGCAATTATAATTTTTGGATGAACAATAATAATTAAATAATTTAAAATAGATCATCAGCTAGATGAAGAGAAACACAGTGGTTTTCCTAGGAAATGGAGTTTAATTGAGATACGATCTACCTCCTCTTGATAACGTTGAATCAGTTTTTTGATTGTATGCCTTACCCCCCTTTTTTTTCAATTTTTATATATTTCTATTGTTTTCAAAATTTCTTCTATTTTAAAAAACACACCGAGTTGAAGAGAATTTTTTTTAAAACATTTTTTATTGAAGGATTTTGGGATAGCACTGGCTTTAAATTTTATTTCTTTCATGTCTTTTTGGGATTGGTTCAGAATTTATTATGCTTTTAGTCTGTAATTAATCAATTTTTCAGCAGATATTTTTGTTGTAAAAAAATTTCTATTATACCATATATATATAGTTTATATATAAGTTTGGTGCAAGTGATTGCAATTAGAAAGGGGAGGTCCATAACTAGATGCTATAGCAGTCCCATATATAAAATTTCAACATTCTACATCTAATCACTTTTCAGTTATGAGAGATGCATACATACATGGAGATGTCGAAAAAATTCCTTTTGAATCCCTTTTATAATCTGCTTTGGAATAAATAGTCTATAGGTATAGATATCATGCAAAAAAATTGCCCAAATGGATTCAAAAGTGATAAAAATAGATATTTTCATTGTAATATGATAACTGAAATGTTTGGTGAATATGATACTTCCTTTGCTTCATACAAGAAAATAAAAATATTCAGTCAACAGAAATGTACATGATGAAAAAGGTACAATGTAAATTTAATAAACAATGCTAATAAAATGTTGAAATGAGGACTGGATATTGGATTGAGGAAAGTCATACATTTCTCTTCTTCTTATTTGTCAATGTTCATGTGAAGGCAAAGATGACATGTGGAGACTAACAATTTAGTTGATGTGATTTTGAATGCAATTGCTAAAGATTACCAACTGGAAATAATAATTAAAAAAACTTTGTTTAATTAATCAGCTGATATCCAATATATATTTCATTACCAAGAGATACCAATAGATTGTTCACACAATGTGATTTTTCTTCTGACTAACTAAGATCATAACTGCACATCATTTTTAAAACATTTGTTGGTTAGGAAATCCCACCTTACCCAATGACAATACATTGATTGAGGTTGTAATAATGTTGGCTAAGATCACACTTTCATTGCTTCAATGGTTGTGAGGATAACCTTTCTACCTGATCTAAACAATAAGGCCAAATGTTGCCATGGCTACATGCCATCTTACTACATTAAACTCTTCCAAAACAGCATGTATTTTTTTAAGACATTCCCTAGGGATGGATGGGAGCCAAAAGGAATCGTTCCACAGGATGAGGGTGTTGCGTCACTAAGCCTAAGTTTTTAAAAAAAATAGAAGAAAAGTTTAAGTCCTTACTCAAGCCATCAATATACATTAAAATTAGCATTTAATAATTTTCTTCCTTTACATTATATGAAAAAATATATAAAAAAATTGCTTGTTTTGAGAAATAATTTTCGGAAATATTATTCAAATAATTCAAACTTTTAATTGACAAAACGCATTAAAAAGCTTTAAAATTAATTAAAAGAATAGAAGAAAGCTTATTTAGAGGAAGAAATAACAAGATCTTTCATGGGATGTGGAAGGCAGGCACTCAACTCAGTCTCTAACAAAATGACCAAATCAGAATCAATAGAAATATCACTGTCTAACTCTTTAGAAAATGAATCATCACTCTCATCCATGTCACTAATTGGCTCATTTACCATGCGAGTATATCCTCCTCTTCTGAATAACACTTGTTTGGCATAATAAAATGAATTCAAAGCTTTCCGAAATAAAAAGGGAAGTACATGAAATAAAAGCAAAGTGTAACAGAACCCTACAAGTAATCCCAGAAGACCTGCAATAGTAGAGAAAAAAGAATTAAAAAAAAAAAAAAAAAGATTTGAAGGGATATCAGAAACACACACAATGTTTATGTCACATGGCGAGTTAAAGAGTCAAGTTCAGTTTTTTTACATTAGGTATTTTTACATGATAGCTGACAAAAAAGTTAGGCAGGATCAAACTGGAGGTCATGATTCTACAATTATGTTCAATTGAAAAATAATGGACATAGAAAATATAATGGTCTTTAAAAAATGGTTCAGCTTAAAATGCACATATGCATCACTTGTCCCCTAAGCTCATTCTCTATTGATGCATGGGTGGGACACTGCGAAAGATGTTTGAAGGGAATGCATATATGGGACACCTGTCTGGAAAGGGTTAAACTTTTGATCTAAAATATCAAAATTTCCAAAATCTGGAATTGTTGAAGTTTGAATGATTCCAGTTCTTGGACTTTATAGGAAAACATATTTTTATTAAGGAACAATGATAAATGACCAAATTTGCATTTTAGAGAAAAATCATAAAAATTCCATACAGCTAATCTATTCTGTTACTGAAAATGGAATCCTTCAACAATTACTAGTGTTCGGCGGCTTCAGGAACCAGATTCTCCACTCTGATTTTGGAACCAGAAATATAATTACAAAGATCTCCACTAGAGACCATAATTAATTATTTTTTAACACATGTAAAATCTGGCTAAATACTCTATTTCTTCATTTATAATTACAGAAGTTTTCTCAATAATTCCTAATATTTTGAAGAAAAATTTCAATATATTTTTTTCCTATAGTAGGTCTAAATAATTGCTCACTAAAATCACATTAATTTTAATAATCTGAAAATGGCACATATTACATGAATTGTTTCATAATTACATCAATTATGAGCATTTAAAAAAACTTATTTGGGTTGAAGATTATTTCAGAGGTGATTTTTTTTTATTTCTTAATTTAGATGTCATACAGTCTGGTAATATTTATTTTCACCTCTTATACTACTGCCTCATCCGTGGCTAATAAAACCACTGAATACTGGCAGTTCAATTTAGATTCAAATCCAGATGAATGCATGGTTTTTTTTCATGGTTTTGCCCATGTGTAACATGAATATGAGCCACTTTTACTTGAGAAAGTCCTGCATGAAGGCATCTCTCTCCTTAGGTAGATAGTCCTTATTTGTTTTGCTATATTCAAATAATACTAACCCTCAAACTATGGCACCTATCACACTAAAATCAAGATGAAAGGTTTCTAAACAAGATTTTAAATCAGTCTGCGGACCCCTCAGTGGCCAAGCACTAAAGTTGCTCAGCACTGGCAATTCAACATGGGTTCAAATTCTGGCAAATGCAATTGTTCCATGAAAGTTTTCTTGGCCTTTTTCTATGCTCAATGTGAATGCCATCTAGTTTCCCATAAAAGGTCCTCCATGACAGCTTCTGTCCTCTTGTGCAGATTCCAAATCCATTAATTTTCTGCACTAAATACAATTATAATTTTTTTTTAAAAAAAATTGTAGGGTAAAAATTTGTAAATATCAAATCAACTGCGATTATGAATAGTTTTAAGCAATTAACATTTTAAGCTGAAAAGCTTTTTTAATATGCTCATAAGCAGCTGAAAATTAAGACAAAATGCAACCTTAAATTGCCATAAAACTGAGTTGATTTCTAGAGCAATCTTTATAAATACATTTCCTTCGAGAGATAAAAAATTCTGCTAAAATATGAAGAGTTGTATTTGTAGAGCATTTATTAATTAGATTTGTAATTATCTTCTCAACTTTTAGTTTTTATAACCTTCAATTCATCAGAATAAGTCATTAAGTGTGTGTGGAAGGGGAGGAAAAATATTTTTAAAAAATTATCTTTACAAAGTGACTGCAAATTTAGTATAGTATAAGTATAAATTTAATAAGCTAGTACATATAACTCAAATAATTAAATATTTGCAAAAAATTTGTTGACCTTTCTCAAAGTTACCAATATTTCTGTATAGAAGTAGAACATAATTAAATACTGATTATGAGTATCACAGATATATTTTCAAAGATAGCCATTTTGATAAATATTAGAATTGTCGAGAATCACATATGAATGTCACATACATGTTTCATAATATTTTAAATTTTATAAAATTAATGGTTATGCAATATCAGCAATTTACATAACTTTCCAACGAAAGTTAGCAAAAATTGTTTGCTTCAGAAATTTTTATTTAGTTCACTCATGGTGTTTGTCCCTTTAATCAGAAAATCGTCATTGATTTTTAAACTACTTCTCAATAAGCTATCCAGTTAAATTTTGTACGCACACTGTTTCCAGATGATAATACAGTGTGGTAAAGTGAGCTTTAAAAAAGATGATTTAGATGTTTTACAATTTAATGTTGAAATAATTTTTTGCACATATTTCCATTTAAAGAACAAACTATAAAAAATTTAAAGTTTGCACCACTTTACACAGCATAAAATATTCTTTTAAATAAAATATGCATGAAATTTTTAACATAATTTCTGATTTTTGGGTGAATCTTTGAAAATTTATAGATTTTTATTTTTTTTTTATTTTTAGGTAAGAAAATTATTGGAAGTAAAAGACTGATTATTCATTGTTGAAAAGTGAATTTTCAATTTAATAATTTGATTAGTAACATGTCATTAGGACAAAAAGATTAAAATTTAAAATTTAAAAACAAAAGTTTTTATAAAATACTTTTTATCAAAACACTTAAAATCTGAATAAACCAATAGGCAAAAAATAATTTATCAGATAGATTAATAGAATAAGAGATAACTTAAGCCCTTTGCAAATTCCTGTACAATTTTATAACACAAATAACAAAAGAGTAGGTTCTTAAAGAATGAAATCAAATGAGCCAACTGCATTTTCAAAGGTATCAGATTTATAAATTTATCGAGGGCGTCCCATGTTTTTATTATTCATGATATAAATTTGTAGATGAATTTTGAAAAGAGATTATTTAATTTGTGTTAAATTATATAAATTATTTTCATTTTAATCCATTAATGATTTATGAGTTATAAAGAAAAAGTTATTATATAAAAGCCTTTTTTTTTCAATAAACTGCTCTAAAATGGGAATTCCTAATTCTCTTTATATATACAATCACTTTCTATCTGGTAATAAACTTGTTTCTTTAAAATCCATGTAAGGCCTTTACCTCAAAACATCAAAAAGTTTTCTTCCAGCACTTATGACAGTCATTATCCATTATTATCAGGGTTGCACGGACCCTTGTCCTCTTAAGCATTTGGAGGTGAAAGAGACAAAAATTCAGGCTAGCTGTTCTTGATATATCCTTTCATTGTTAACAAAAATATAGGCAGGCCCATATTTAAAGGTACATTAAAAAAAAAAAAAAAAAAAAAAAAAAAAAAGTTTCCTGTAATGACCCATTATGGTGCCTGCATACAAGAACAAAATAATTTGGAACAAACCATTGAAGGGTTAAATGCAGAAAATTGCAATGTACATAAAATAGTCTGTACTAACAACAATTATGATAAAACAGTTATGCACGCATTAACAATTATGTATATATAACAATTATGTATAATAGTTTTATTTAGTAAGCATGCATGTGTGTTGTACCAATTTATACCTTCCCTTTTGCACCTCCTGTATACTGCAAGAGTTCAAAATCATCTAAAGGACACTTTAGTTCCCTGAAGATTCTAATATTCCCACCAGCCTGAGGTACGGATAAAGTTTCATCACAAGTTGGACAATGTAATCGGCAAGGCCTTGTGGCAATTAACTTCATGTAACGGCGACATTTCCCACATCTAGAAAGACAAAAATTAAAACTGCGCAACTGCAATTTGAAAGCAAAGATATGAAAGGAAGGCTGCATTTAAACATAAAATGATACATTCAAGTGAATATTTTTGCTTATTATATTATATTATATTAAATAAATACTGAACTTAAGATGTAAAAAGTAGTTTTAATGAATACAGAACTAATTCAATTGAAAGAATTTGACTATAAATTTTGCTTTAGGATTTATGTATAATTTTAATGAATTATAGTTGTAAACATAGGACAAAGATTTTCCTTAAAAATTCCATCATAAAGATGGCTTTAAAGAATTAAATATTACATACTTAGCCATAATTGATTATCTATCTACTGAGGACCCCCCTCCCCCCAAAAAAAGCATTTAAATTAAAGCTCAAAGACAAATACATCGAAATCCTAATGATAAAACAGAGAAAAGTTAGTATATTAATTTCATCATAAGAAAATAAGTTGTAAAGATAAAAAATATAAGCTACAAATTATATAAATTTTCCCCCTTAAATCAAAGCATGTATCATATACCCTTGCAGCAATTTTTTTGCTCAAAAAATGACTTTTTTTTTAAGATTCAATCATTTAAATCAAAATTATAACTATGTAATGCAAGTGTATACATATATAAAAAAGATACCATATTCATAAAATAAATAACCTTGACTGAGGTTTTCCACTTTCAGAAAGAGGACTAAATGATGCTTCAAATAACTCATCCATACCCGTAATATTTGTTACAAAATACTGGAATTTCAAGCGGAAAACTGTAAGAGTATGCTGAAGTACAGATTCATAATTTTCTTTTCCAAGAGCTATTAAATTCAGCTGTTTCTCAACAGCAGCACGCATGGTCGGCAGTACAAGATCCGGATCAATCTAAAAAGAAATTTTTAAGACAAATTTCAGTTATGTGTTATGCACAAGAGATAATTTGTACTCAAATTTAAAAACTTGATGAAATTATAGACTGATAACATAATTATTAACATACACTCTACATAAAAAAATATTGGAACATCTAAAAAATTTCTTCATTCATGACGGAAGTGATTATGGTAAAGAGATAATATAATCTAATAATAGAATATAATAATGGTAATAATAATACCATTATTATCATTTGGTATGAGTAGTAAAGAGAAGATAAAAATACAGAAGTGATTAAAAACTTGAGAAAAGGGAGGAAGGAAATTTTCCCCTCCCCCTTTCCAATACCCCCCATTCCTTTTTCCTATCTAAATCACATGTCCTTCCTTAGCATTCCATCGTATCCTTTTCCGTTCTCCCTATTTCTTGTCGCTTATCCATTTGCTCCGCAACCCCATTACCTCAACCCACTCCACTTTTTCCCCCTTTTACTTCCTTCTCTTATCCAGGTTCCTTTAATAGCAAATACAGTTATATGATTTGCGACTTGACACGCGCCGGACACGGGTCCTTATGTACTCAGATTGTTTTTTTAATAAGTATATTGAAATATGTTGAGAGATATGCAGTGACTGAAAAAAAAATCGAATTCTCAGAACTTCAGACTTAAAGAATTTGCTATTCAAATTTCAAGAAGATATACAAAGATTTAGAAACTCAAAATTTATTTAAAACGATGTACTGAAAATGGAAAAGCCAAATAGTAGGAAAAACTATTTTCCTATTATTTTACTGTAAATTAACAGCCCATGAAGAATTAAAAGAATTTTAGTTTAACAAACAACAACAACAAACTTTACTACTTAAGACGAGTTGTGAGCTTATTTCACTGAATCTCATGCGCACGAAGCTTACAACGAGTATTTTCCCCAAGTGGAAGAATTTTTCTATTTTTCCAAGACTCGAATATCATAACTGAAAGTAATAAGGTTTTCAGTTCGGCGTGACTCGAAGTGTATACAAAATTAACAGTTAAAGCACGCGGTCTGCAAATATTAGAGGTTTTCTTCTGGTATATCATGGATAAGTGAAGCCTATACACAACTACTACTCTACTTTATCAACTGCTACTGCAGAGTAAACACATAAATTAAAAACTATAAAGTAAACACATAAAAGTGTTTACAGTTAACGTAAAAGTTATATGCAGTAATATAAAGTATTTACTGTAAACATTTTTGTGACATACTTTATGCGTTTTCTGTAAAGTAAACACATTACACAGTTCACAGTGAGGGGTGAGTGAGTGAGTGAGTGAGATTTTTTGGCGCAAAACCAAAAATAATTATAATGCGCTAAACACGAGGTAGATGAAATCATAAATGAATGGTGCTTTGAAATTGCTTACCAAATCTGGAGGATGAAATCATATAAAAACAAAGCACACATTAAAATACAATACATAATCTTCAAAATAGATTACATTTGGTAATAGAAGCCAGTCTCTTTTATATAATAAATAAATTACAATTAACCTCTCTTCCCATTAAAGGGTCGAGAAGTAAGTCACAGCTATTAAAATATTTCTGACGAAAATTATGAAAACTTAGACACTCAGTTAAAATATGACAAACATATACACAAACATTACAATTTAAACAAATAGGCTCCTTTTCAGCTTTTAGAAGATAGTTATGTGTCACTCTAGTGTGGTCAATCCTGAGGCGAGCCAAAAGAACTTCCTCCTTTCGATTTCTATTAAAATCTCAACGCTCAATTCTAGGCTTTACACTTCTCAGCTTGTTGTCAACTTAAACGTCCCAAAGGTGCTGCCATTTTTTTCGAATCTTTTCTTTGATGACATAACCGATATCTTTGAAAGGGCTAAGGCGATTGGAAGGTTCTTTCAACAGCAGATTTCGCTGTGACATCCGCCAGCTCATTTCCCTTTATTCCTGCATGTTCGGGAACACAGCAGTACAGAATTTCATATCCACGATTAGTCAAGTTATATGAATCTTAAGCACATCCACTATTACTGGATGAGTGTTGGGGAAAAGCTTTTAATGATTATTTAAGCGCACTATAGGAGTCTGTATAAATTATGAACATTTTGTGGCAGAGTTTTGAGATGTAAAAAAGACTATAATATATTGCAGTTAGTTCAGATGTTAAGACAGAGAAAGCATGGTGCAAGCGTCTGCCATCCATGTGATTTTCAATTAGAAATGCCATCCCGACATGATCATTTGACTTGGATCCATCTGCATATACTGGAAGATAACTGCTATTATTTATGCCTGTGCTCAGCAAAGAGTTGTCTGTAAGCGATGTCGTTAGTGCTTGCCTTCAAGTGATGGTTGAAAACATCAAGAAGCTGGATCCGTGCATTTTCCCAACGCGGGATTTCTAAATTCTGCACCTCTTGGGGGCACATATCTGAGAGAGAGAGTTCCTCGATGATAGGTCGAACTCTTAAAGAAAAGGTAGGCACACAGGATGGAAATGTTTCAAGTAAAGTGCTACACACATTATCGAGTAAGCACAGCTTATTAGGATGTTCAGGTTGCGTTAAAATATTAAAATACTGCAAAAACCACGTAATTCAATCACTTTAAAGCAAAAAATGTATAATTTACCAACGTGTAAGAATAAAAAATCTAAGTTCACCAAGACAGGTAACATAATGGGAAAAATATATATTCATATGTATGATCGGTGCAGCCGATTGCAACGAGAAAGGGAGGTGCACAACTACATGCTATAGCAGTCCCATACACAAAATTTCAACGTTGTACGGCTACTCATTCTTGAATTATGCGAGACACATACATATATATGTACGTACAAACGTCAAGAAAAAATCTATTCTGAATACATTTTAAATCCTTTTTGTCAAAAACAGTCCTATATGCTGTCCATGCGTATAGATGTCATGTAAACACATCGTTCAATTGGTTTCGAGAGCTGTTGAAATATGATACCCGAAATTTTCGCGATTACAATGCTACCTTTACTTCGTATAGGGAAGTAAATAACTAAGCTCACCCCAGAATGGAAATATATGCTATGTTCCCGGCAAAGTGAAACGCGGGTATTCTATAGAATGCCGGACTTTTTTAGGCAAAGTATGAAATATAAGAATTATTACATACTTTTCCTAGACATTGTATATAATACCTAGGCATTCTATAGAATGAAAAGTGCTATTTAGGCAAAGTATGAAAAAAGGTCCTGACAAGGCTGTTGTATAGATGGCGTGAATTCCTCAAAAATACAAATGTTATTCTAACAAAATAATGAAAGTGCCATTAAAAAAATTATTCAAAACACGTACAGAAAAATGAAGTTGAACAAAGCAAAATTTGTGCCTTTCGTATTAACGGAAACAAAATTTTCATATGAAAAATACGAAATTAAAATTAGCCTACTTGTTGAAACATGGTAGGCTTGAATGATACTTTGAATTACATTTCATTACATTTTTCACTTTAGAATCCATAAATTTCAGCGATTATAAAGAAACTGCTGAAATAAATTTTCATATGGTTTTCTTTACAGATGACAGCAAGATGAACAACAAGGTTGGCCTTGCATTTGTTCTTTTTGGCCATTCCGAGGGTTTGTTTTCTTAGACACCGTATACGGAATGAATGCACAGTTGTTCTGTTCAGAACTTCTGTGCATTTATTTGCCGTCAAATGGATCCAGGATCATGGGACAACATCTCAAGGTACCTTATTTGTTCTGATTCTCTTTTTCTCTTCAACTTTTGAACAGTATTACCAGCTGCGATAAATTAGTTATCGAAATCCTAGTAACTGTTAGTTCACTTAGAATTAGAGGTATTGATATCTGCTTTGCTTATGTGCGTGCTCATCATGGTTTCTACGGAAATGAAAGAGCTGATTTCTTAGCTAAAGATGCCTTAAATTTACCCATTGATATCAACATTAGCATTTCAAAGAGTTTATTGGAAGTTCCTTTCATTATAAAAAAGCTTTTAGCTATGTGGAATTGGAATGAGGAATATATTTCATCTTCTAATGCTGAAGTCACCAAAAAGTTCCTACCCTTCTACTTACCATAGACTGAATTCCGAGTCTTTCCTCTCGTTAAATTTTAAAGTGTCTCAGTTTTTATCTGGTCACGGTAAATTTGCAAGTATCTGTTTTTTTAATCTACGATCCAACAATTTATGTGAATGTTCAAAAAGAGTTCCTCAGGATGTGGAACATTTGATTTTCTCGTGCCTACATTTGATGGCCCTAGATTATGCTTACATAACGATTTGAAAATGTTCGGAGTGACTTGGCCAGTGAACTTATCTGTTTTCGTGAAGTCCAGATTGCTGTCTCTGCTTTTGTTCGCTTTATTTATGCATGTAATTTTTAATGTTTATTTATACATTGTAATCTTTAATGTTTTAGTTAACTTACTTCTGTAAGCCCGTGTTGTACATATGTGGTGCACGGGGGAGTCTGTATGTTCTCAAAGGAAAAAAAAATTACATTTTTCACGCAAAGACATTTCATATTTGGCACTTTGTTTTACACATACATTTGACGAATCCTTGGCTGATTCCACTGGACTGAGCAATTGCAACTGACCGGAGAGGAATTTCGTGGTCAGGAATATCTTCAGTTCTAAAGCAAGTTCTTAAGGCATAAAGTAAATTGTGATCTTGCATATACTTGTTTCAAAATTCCTTTAGAAGTTAAATCGGTAAAAACCATCCTCTGTCGCACTCATTTTTACAACTGCCAATATATTGCGCGAATCACCTCGCGCCTTTGTCGATGTCACGAATAGAAACTTGCACAGTATTCTCCAAAGAAGCAGTGGGAAATTTGTTTTCCGAATTCATTTTCATTTTTCATTTTCTCCTTTCAGATTGATTTTAGAATTTATTTTACCTTCAATAGCATATTCAGTTTTGAAACAAAGGGTGAACAAATTATCCATTTCACCATCTTTACTGGCATGGCCACAAAAAGTATGAATT